AAAAAAAAATTATAACATACATCTAAAATACTTAAATGTGCTAAAAGCCCCTCTTATTTTAATCTTTTGCCCCATTTTCAACATAAAATTTTACGGTCTCTTTGACTACTCGTAAAGTGTATTTTTTTTTTTTTAAACGGTTAAAGTGTTTTATAAAAAGCCATTATATTAAAACCAAGTTTTTTCTTGAACTCAGAAGAATGTTTTTTTTTTTGCACATCACTATAAGTATAATTGGGCAGAGAAATATTTTTTATTAACAAAAAATATTATTATCTACTGAATAATACATAATAATTTATTTTTAGTTTGCCGGAAAAATCTATTTTTAGTTTGATTTCATTTTTATTTTCATTATTAAGAATTCGTTTAACACAGAGATTTGAGATGATTCGCCTTTTTTAGGGCAATTTCGCCAATAAATAAAGAGTTAGATATATTTGTTATTTACTTAAAATAAGAAATTCTGTACATATCAATCTAAAAGTAGACATAATATTACCATCAATAACAAAAAATGTATTGAAACCAGTCTTCTGATGGTTCAACCCATGTCACACCCGACTCACAGAGCTATGAATTGTTTTTTGCTGCAGCTGTTAACTTCGATGAAATTAGTGAGTTTGGAAAGATTTAAAACTTAAACGGGACATGAAATTTCTTTTCTTTAAATTACTTTCTAGAATTTGATTGGATGAGAACTTCCCCTTCTTTAAGTCAAAGAAGAGAAAGTTTTTGATAGCTTCCAAAGAATTCCGCCGCTTTCAAAAAGATGTGACATTCATAGTCATTTAATTAGATGAAACATTTTTTTAAAATGTTTTATATTTTATTTTTATCAACTGTGATTTCACCAACAACTGGCAAAACAACCTTGAAACATTACATTAGGGCAAAAACCTATTTAAAGTATTTACCACAAATGCCAGTGAGATTAAGTTATCAGATTTGTGAAAAACTTATCCTCTAACACAGTTTCAAAAAATTCTACAAAAAAAAAAAAAAAAAAAAAAAATACTGACAAGACAAGACAAGATATTTATTTTCCTTTTTAAAATTTACATATAATCATATAATAACAATAATAATAATATTATCTATAATAATACAAAAAATATAATAGTTATAAAATATAACTAATAAGAATAAATATAAATAATTATTTGAAAAAGAAGGTGTCACTCAAAAAAAAGCCTGATCAAAGGAGTGACACCAAATAATTATAACAATAATAATTAAAAATAATAATATTATCTATAATAATACAAATAATATGATGACATGAGTATCACTCATGATCAAAATGAGTGACACCAATTAATTATAACAATTAGTATAATAATAAAATAATAAAAATAACAAACATGAACCGAAAATCGATAAGAAAATAAGTTTTATTTTCTTATCGATTTTCTTATAAATTTTATCCATTTATTTAACCATAATATTAAAATAGTTTTAATATTATGGTTAAATAAATGGATAAAAATAACAACGATAAAGCTAAAATAAGCTAAATAATAAAACAAAAAATATGAAAACACTCAATAACAACAGCAAACAAAAATAAAAATAATTAGCAAAACAGAACAAATAAAAAACGAACCTTACACAAACGAAAAGAAAAAACACAAAAACTACAAGATGAAACACAAAAACTACATAACGAAAAGGCAAACACAAATACTTCTACAAAATAAAATAAAATTAAAAAATAAGGACAAACTTTAGTTATTTTGAGCAAGGCACTTGAGCAAGAGTTGTATTTAGTTATTCAATAATTTCAATGAACAAAACGGCAAATTATTATTATTACAAACAAATAACATTTTTAAAATGTTATTCGTTTGTAATAAAAATAAGTACTTTTTGTATTATTGCTGAGAAACATTTTGTTAAAATTATAGAAACATTTTGTTAAGATAAAAGAGCCTTTAGCAATTATGACCAATGAATATCTGATTGTGCAAAATTAAAAAATGCAAAAATACTCACAAATGTTGTTCAATACCCTTTATTAACAGGGACAAAAATAAAAAAAATAATAGAGCTTGATAATATTCCCAGTCTACATATACTTTTAGGTGTTACAGACAAAATTTTTAAAAAAATTGAAAACAATTTGTTTGACAACAAAGAGTGTGGGTTACAGTTTGGCAGCTGATATTTGTCTACAATAAACATTTGAAGAGTATCCTACCAAGGGCAGCATCGTTTAGAAGGCAATGCTGGCTATAAGTTGCTTAATGACAGACAGTATTGAGATGTTTTTTCAGGAGTCCAGTCTTAGAGATCCTTTATCCAAATACTTTAAGGCAGTTAGAGATTTTGAAAAAGTAGTCCATGGCTGATTTGGAAAATCATTAAGGTCTACATATGTCAAAGATATAGAGCAGTTGTCTAGGAGCGATAGAAATCTAGGGGCTACAATTCCTTTAAAAGTATACATAGTTGAGCTACATATTATCAAATTCATTGATAGGAAAGGTACAGTCTTCGGTATGATGAATAAATTTTAAGTTTGCCAAAAGAATAAATTAGTATTATTTAATTATAATAAAAGTAATTAAATAGTTATTATTACAATAATACAACAGTTTATGCAAGTGACTAACATAACCGCAAGTGACTTGCATAAACTATGACGATTATTCATTAAATAGACTAAAACTTATTTTGCGCATTTTATATTTTGTGCGCTTAGGTTACTGGACCGAACAAGCTCTGGAATCCATTCACCGGGATTTCAATCAGTTTAGGCGAATGATAAAAGTTAGAAAAAACATATTGAAGCGCTAAAAAACGCAGTTGCTGCTTACAACTACAAACACTTTTAATGTAGCTTTCAATTTACAGGTAGCTTGTAAAATGTATAATATTAACCTCTTATGAACAATTGTTTAATATAGTTTCTTAATATATGATATAATTATATATGACATGCAAAATATAAATAATAATTTAACCAAATAAACTAGAAATTTTTTTATACGGCCATATAGTAGTTGTAGTCAACCTTATTGGACCCCTAATATCTCACCCTTAGTGTATGGTTCCCTAATAGAATTTTTCAATTTTTTTTTGTGTTATATGAAACTAGATCAAAATTCATCAACAGATTTTAAATTTCATCTAAAAACAATATCTATTTTTAAAGTTACGACCATTCAAAGTTATTTCAGGGGGTAAATGTGGAATTTTGAACTTCTTATGGTAAATAAATCTTAAACCAAAAGATATTTTTTGACGAAACTTGAAATCTGCCAATAAATATTGGTCTAATATATGATAGAATTAAAAAAAAATTATTACCTTAGGAGACGTAGTTCTAGGAAGGGGGCAATTCGGGGTCGGGACGGGGTTGGGTTAGCTCCAATTACCTCAACTTTTTGCAATTCATCCTCATTTGATACCATTATTAACAAACTAAAAATTTAAGTATACCACATAGCTCTTAGTTACCTGTCTTAAACAAAAAAAAAAAACTAGGCACTCACCTAAAATACGTGATTTCTCCCTAGGCCCCCGGTGAAAAAAGTTGTTTTTTGCATTTTTGAAATAAGGAAGAGTCTTCTGATAATAAACAAAAAATTTCTGGGGATGTGTTGCAAGGTCTCAGAGCATCTTCCTAAGCACTGTGAATATATACTTAAATATACTTATTTAAACTTATATATAATTTTGTTATAAGCTTTTATATAAACTTATATACAATATCAGATCTTCACAATATCTACATTCTATCATTTTAGTAGCATAATTGAAATGATAATTAATCAAGTTTAATAAAAGATAATAAAAAACAAAGAGTAAACTATTTCTAACTATTTCTGCGCCGTGGCGCAGTGGTAGCGCACTTGCCTCAGAAACGCAAGATCCGTGGTTCAAACCCACCTCTGGGCAAGTTTTGCGACATCGGTTAGGAAGGAGGCGTGAACTTCCTATTAAATGCTCTTCCGCGGTGCTCTGTGATAAGACCGTAAGGACTTCTTGGGGCACCTAAATCAACATTAAAAAAAAAAAAAAAAAAAAAAAAAAAAAAATCACTTTGCCAGTTTAGTTTACATGTTGAGTCTACTATGTTGAGATTTTAATGTGTGACTTTTATTAGTAATTTTATTACTTTTATTAATATTTTTTATTAGTATTTAACGTTTTGCGAACGTTTTTTAATGGTCCCGTAAAAACGTTGTTTATTGGTTTGTTAAATGTCCATATAAACGGCGCCCGAACTTATTTTAAAAAATCGTTTTAATGAACGTTTTTTATTGGTTTTCTTAACGTCCATATGAACCAGTAACCGGACGTTTTTCTAAAAACGTTTTTTGAACGTTATCTGTTATTTTTTATTAAGTCTAAATAAAACGTGTTATCGTTTTTAAACGTTGGTCCTAAAAACTTTTTTTTAAGTATAAGTTGTTTAAGTAAATAACTTATGTTATAGACAAAAAACCTGATCTGAAATTTTAAATATTTTTTGTTTATTTACAATGTAAACAAACAAAAACATAATAAAATAATTTTTATGCTTTTCTATTAAGAGCTCTCTTCAAATGATCGCTTATTAACTTATCGACCAAATCGAATTTTGTTGTATGTGACACTAATATTTCTAAAAAGAAAAATACCATAGAAACTTTCATGCACTTCACTAGCACGTATAAAAGGTGTTATATAAATACACATTTATACTAAGGGTAAATTCTAAACGTTACGTTTAGTTTATTTAACAATCTTTTAAACATTGTTATCATTTGACTATGTAATAAATTAAAAAAAAAACAAAAATGTTATAAATTAAAGCTGTTATAAATATAAAACAAAATATATATAGCATTATATATTTTGATTATATATAATATTTATAAATATAAATGAATTTCTATATATATTGCATAAGATTTTGTCACAACAGGTTAGTATAAAAAGTATAAAGTATAGAACATATTCATATAGAATATAAATATTGGGATGTAGAATTTTTGTATTACTAGATTTTATTAAAAACATTTAAAGAAGACGTCACAGCGTGTGCGACACAAAAAGAAGCAGCTTTGAAAATCGATCGTTTTTGGTGTCTAAAACTCTTATCAAAGGAGTATTTTCCGGTTGAGATTTCCAACATCGTAAGCAGTTTTCAATATCGTATACTGTGTTTATTATTGACTAATTCCAGAAATAAAATTAAAAGCTTAAATAAAAAAAATTATGTTAATGCAGTAATCTACTGGCAATCCTGATGATTCTGATTTAATAAATAAAAAAAAAAAAACGGAATTGGCTTATAGGACGTTTGCAAAATATCCATTTTGTAAAGAAAGTACGTAAATCCCTAGGTCAATGGCTCTTTCTTGCAGTATAGCCGAAGTATTATCAACACAGTAATTTTGTTGCAATTGCAAAAAAAAAAAAAAGTAAATAATCTATATTACAATAATGCGCAAAAAAAAATTACGTCGACCATATATCAATGTCACGTGGTTGCCTCTTCCCATATCATGTATTGTGAGATTCATTGTTTAAAAATTTCTTGCAATGTCTGAAAAAGTGGTAAAGATGGAAATTTCCGATTAATTAATACTGCATATATATATATATATATATATATATATATATATATATATATATATATATATATATATATATATATATATATATATATATATATATATATATATATATATATATATGTATATATATATATATATATATATATATATATATATATATATATGTATATATATATATATATATATATATATATATATATATATATATATATATATAATATATATATATATATATATATATATATATATATATACCCAGACAGCAAGTATATACTGGTCCGATAATGGCTAGCCAATGCCAGCGAATTCTTTAAAGGCCCGATAAAGTTCCGTTCATGTATTGCCAGTTCTGGGAAGGCGTAACAGGGCCATTGCTGAGCCTTTATAAAGTTGCCTGAGCTGAGTAGCCGCAAAAATCTTGAAAGTCGTTTTTTTTAATTTTCAGACAAATATATTTTAAAACTTTATTGTTTTAAAAAATACTTTCAGGCGATTCTATATTGCGTACATAATAATTTCTAAATAAATTTAAAAAATTAATAATTATAAAAAGAAATTTATGTTTTTTAAATAATTTCTAAATAAATTATTACAATTAATTCTTTTGTTAAATAAATAAAGTTTCTTTTTGGATGTGTTGTTACACTACAAATAACATGATATATTAACATTGTTTACATCAAACATTAATCATTAAATTGGTTTAATGTTTAAATTTTTTTTTTTACCACCAAAACGGGTTTAAGAAACTTAAAACCCTAAGTTAGATAAAGAAACGTAAAACTTAATTTATGGTAACTGAAAAATGATTAATATTGATAAAAAAGACTGATAGAAATGTTGGTTTGATAGAAAAGGAAATATATAAAATGTATAAATATTTTTGCGTAGATTACTTGAAAAATTTTGCTTTTTTTATTATCTTTTTGTTATCATATTCATAACTTTTCTGCAATATAATTTGATTGTTATTAACACATTTATATTTTATATTCTTATAGTTTAATAGGAATAATATAAAGATAACATTTTCTTTATAAATATAGTATAAAAAATACATACTAAAACGTACTTGCATGTTTTAGTATGTAATACGTACTAAAGCGTAAGTTTGGAGCATACACACTATGTATGCTCTAAACTTTCTGCAACTGTGATAATAAAACTCCATTCTATAGGTTTAATGCCTTTTCTTATTTTGTAATTTTATATGAAAAACTTTAAATAAAATAGTTTTAATTATTAGATTTAATAGTATTGATGTTTTGTTTTTAGAGTTTGTTTGTGATTTTGTTTGTTGTGTAATTAATGTGCCACCACATAAATGTAGCAAATATTAATGAAGCTATGGCAATAAACGTAATGTTGACAAAAATATGCCAAATCTCAAATTAAATGGTTCATCTTAATCTGGTAAGTTTTTTCTTAATCAAATAAGTTATTAATATTTCTGTTTTCAGTGTTTAAGTGAAGGAAAAGTTTTTTTCCCTTATTTTTACTATTACTAATGACTAGATTTACTGTGTTTTATAAAGTAGTTTCTGTGTATAAAAATATTTAGGAAGATTGAGAGGCATTTTAATTTTAATTTTTAAATTTTTTATTCATTTTTTGTTTATTCAAAATAATTTTTACAATAAAGGAATGAATAAAATACATACAATAAGAGTTACAAATTTTGTTGACTTTATAATTAGAACGCAGATACTCGCAGAAGGTCTTAAGATCTTGTTATCGAGAACTGCCTAAACAGATTTTAAATAAAAAAAGTTTAAGATGCTTTAAATTGTAATTATACTGTGGCAACATTTTAAAGTTATCTATTTATAATAAAATGATAAATTGCGTGTCATAAACTTTATTTAGAATCTGCTGTGAATTTAATTAAATATCATGAAATGTCAAATTTCAAGATATGATTTTTTAATGGAGTTTTGGTCCATAATAATCCAAGTACCACATGTTTTAATAAATATATGTGTTAGTAACAAAGTTTTAAAAAGACCCTTAATTCAAGTCTATGTAACTTTGTTTTGTTATTAATGAATTGAATTTTTTTCGTCAATATTAAAACTAATTGTTATTTTAACATGATAACCATGTTGTTTATAAGTTGTGACCATTTTGTATATATGTTGTTACTATATTATATAAGTATATATGTAATAAATTATTAAGTTGTGCTTATGTTTGTTTTTATTTTATTAAAGTTAAAACAGATGCAAACACTAAAGAAGACAATAACATTACAAATTGAAGCAAAAATTTATAACAGATCATGTTGAAGATATGAATCGCAGAAAAGCACCGTTGTCGAATGATCGAATTGTCGAAAGATCATAATTTAAATCTTTGTATTATAATTGCGTAAAAATATTTTAAAATTTTTAAGCCTATTTTTAAATTTATTCATAATAATTAAAATTGTCAATAATCATGTGTTTAAACATTTTATTGTGCTTAAAATAATGAAAAATACGCCAATTTTAAACCAACAAATTACAGTCGATTATGCTAAAAACAACTTTAAATAATAAAAAAACAGGGTCTAAAAGAAAAATATAGGGACTTCAAATAGGATTACCTATGAAAATCTATAACAACCCCATGCACGACCCATTTGCTTACCAAAGACAAAATCACGATGATACGGTAAAATACGATGGTATATAAAAATGGCTAATCGTTGTTCTGCCAGTTCTTGTCCCGCACTTGCTATCCGCTGTTTTGCTATTGCTGACTAGTCACGGCTGGTCCATGAAAAATCCTTAGAGCAAAACGGAGCTTTGCCAGTGTCGGCAGCCGAAGCCGGTCCAGCGCGGCAGCATATACAGGACCAGTGCGGGACCATTATATCTTTGCTGTGTAGGTATATATATATATATATATATATATATATATATATATATATATATATATATATATATATATATATATATATATATATATATATATATATATATATATATATATATATATATATATATATATATATATATATAAAGAATTTAAAGTGATCTACAATAAATTTTTTTTTTTTCGCAACTTTTTTCACGAAAATTATTTCTTATTAATGTTTAGTAGAAAATACTTTTCAGTCAGCTTTCGGGTTTCAATAAATTATTTCACTAAACAAGTATCTATGTTAAGCAAGCTTGCTTTAAAAGTTTATCTTAAATAAGAATTTACTAAAAAAAAAGCATGAAAATTTTAAAAATAAAACATGAAATATATATACTGCATCCTAATTTTAAGATTTCTAATGTTGAGTGCTTTATTAATAAATTTTTTATGTTTTGAATGTATAATATATTTAACTAAATGTTTAATACATAAGTTATATCATGTATATAGTGCATCTGTTATGTTATATTTAATACAATTGTTAAAATTTTTAACTCTTTTATGTAATGTTAACAAATTTATTAAAATAAACTCGAAAAATTATTGATAATCTGGGCTTCAACAATCCCAAATGCAACCAGATAAATCAGTATATAACCCATTGATTTCACGTTAAATTCGGGTTTCAGAATTGTGCAAAAGTAGGTTTCAAATAAACTTAATTTGAAGGTTGCGCTAACGCTTCAACAGAAATATTATTCTTGTGAAAAACACATTCTAGTAAAATTAATCTTAGAACAATAAAACAAGTTTTAACCGTAGTATTTTAAAAATGTTTTATCTTTTTTTTAATCATATCAAATATAGAATTGGTTTTAGTACCACACAAAAAGCGCAAAAAAGCTGTTGAAATCAAACTCGCGATGGTACGATTGAGACGTAGTTTTTATAAGTGAAGGTTTGGTGTAAATTGGGTGAATTTATTGTTGAATTGGGTGCGTCAAATTTATTGTAAATTAAGTGTTTTATTTTCGGTTTAAGTAGGGTATAAGTGTTAGCTGCTTCTGAGACGTGATTTGGGTTTCTGAATCGTTTTTTAGTATTAAATACTTAAGGTCGGGAACACGTTCCTGCGGCACGTAAAATTTAAAAGAAAAAAACCTTTTTTAGCAGAATGGGTATACATTGGATTAGCTTAAACTTATATTAATTGGACCAATTTTGGGTTTAGAATATAAAAATAACAATGTTTTGCGATCGTTTTACATACGTTGGAACAATGTGCCTGCGTAAACTGGTTTTAGTTGCGTAGGTATAAATCTTTTCATTTATGTCAATGTCAAACACATGCTGAAAACAACAGACTTTCGCAAAGGTTGTACGTCATTCTACGCATGGTAGCCAAGAAATCATAAAGTATTGAAGTTAGTATTATGAAATTTATGCGTGCGCTTCAAAGTTAGTTTACAGAGCAATTTAATGCTAGTTTCGAAAACTTTTTATGTATATTTAAATTAAGTGTGTTTTAATATTTAATTTTCCTTTTGCTTCGGAATGTTTTTGAACTGTTTAGAATCTAGTTCACTTGATATTAAAAAAAATAGAGGCACTATATTTGTAACTGAGAACAATAATAATGATTGGAATGATTTTTCTATCATTGAGTTGAATATTTATTTATCCTATAACGATATATACATATATATATATCGTTATATATATGTATATATATATATATATATATATATATATATATATATATATATATATATATATATATATATATATGTATATATATATATATATATATATATATATATATATATATATATATATATATATATATATATATATATATATATATATATATACATATATCAAACGGTTGACCGTTTTTTTTAGGTTAGTACAAGCACTCTGAAAAATTTTATTGAGTTTGCAAGTGATAAAGTTCATTACCAATTTTGTCAGCCTTTATATCTTAACTTCTAGTGTTTTTTACTAAATGCAAAACAGGTTGAGCGGAAGATTGCCGTGTTAACATTGCCATGATTTTAAACACATGATAAATAAATCAATGTATACTTCCAATATTTTCATAAAATATTTATTTTTTCTGAAAGATTTAAAAATATTTTTTACATTTCTATAAGTAAATAAGTGCTTTTAAATAGAAATAAAAAAAAATTCAACGACAAGTTCATCGATAAAAAAATATATAATGAAAAAGTCAGCAAAAGTAAGTCCACACGATAATATAACAGGTTAGTTCTCAGGTTTATTATAAAACTAAAAGTTACGTTTTTACCAAACTACTTGCATTTTATTTTTTATTAAATTAGTCAATTACAAAGCATTTTTTCACAACTTAATAACATAAATAACTATGTATTTTGAACATAATAACTATCTCTATTGTGCAGGGCCGACGACACGGGTTTTGAAGTGGGGGAGGGGGGGGGGAGAACACAATAATCAATTTGCAAAAAAGTCCTCAATACCAAGATTTTTCTTGATCTTGATATTGACATAAAGTTTAAATATTATTTTCAAAAACTAAGTTCATTTTCAATGTACATGGTTTTCAGCAGACGGACAAAAATTTTAAAAACATTTTCTTTATGAATTTATATATAATACTTAATCCAAGAAAAATATTTAATCCTGCTTTAGAGCAACAGGTAAAAAAACCCGGCTAAATTAAACATTTTTTCCACATTTTTTAAAGTAGCTACAAAGTCACTTTCAATGTTGAGCATTCACTTCTATATGTTTAAGCTCAGTGGACACAGGGTCTAAAAAAGACGTCTTTCGAACATTCAAAAAACGTCTGAAATGTTCAAAAAGCGTCCAAAGACGTTCGAAACGTTCAAAAGAAGTCTTTTTACGTCCCGTCTACTACGTTGAATTTTAAACGAGAGCACATTTTCTTTAAAAATTGGGGAACTTTACTTAAAATATTATTGTTTATTTTTATCTTTTTTAACTTAAATTCATTTTTTACAATTCTTCTAAGAGCTATATGTACCATTGTTTTCAGAGCTAAAACAAAATTAAAAATTAAGATAAAAAAATAATCTGATAAAATAATATTATATAATAGTATTTTATTATATAATAGTATTTTATATATATATTCTTACGTCAAAGTATGATATAGTTGAACGTAAGGAAACCTTGCTAAAATTATAGAACATTTTGTGTCTAACACAATGCAAGGCTGACGATACCGACACATTTTTAGAAATTTTTTTAGATTTAGAGGACTTTTTTTAGAAATTGACGATTGCGCCCCTCTACTTTGACACTGGTGTCGTTGGCCCTGCAATGTGCTTTCAAATCAAAAAAATTTAAAAAAAACAAACAAAGGTTTAAAGAACGATCTATAATCATATGTATTATTATTATTATTTTTGTTGTTTCATTTTGTAGTTTAATAATATTAAAAATTTTAATTTATATATTTAAAGTTATTTGGCCGGACAAGAAAAAGAATTCTTTCATTCAGTCTAATAGCAAAGTTTCATTTTATAACTATTGATATAGTAAAAACAAAATTATTAACTTAAAATAAAAACATTAAATATTGATACTTAAATAAGATAAGTTAGTTAAAACTTAAATAAATAAATTAAAAAACATTTAAATAAAATAAATATTAATGCAATAGATATTAATACCTATATACTAAAATATTTATACCTATATACTAAAATAATTTTTGCCACAAAATACATTTTGCCGTCAAATACATTTTGCCGCAAAATAGATTTAAAAAACGTTTTAAACTTTAAAACGTTTTGTATTGAGTATAAAAATATTCCAACAATACTATTTATATGCAAAATCTTTTTTATGACAAAATAGATCTTTACAACAAAACTTTTTTTTGACAAGTCAGTTGTTATCCTCAAAATACATTTCCTGCCAAAGTATTTTAATGTGAGTTGTAAAAATTTAATGCGAGACTTTAATAAATATTTTGAATTAAACCATTAGTTAGGCCTGTTAATGAAATAAGCGATTGTTTATTATATAAGGGCTGAAAGGTTTCAGTATGTGTTTTTTTCCGTATTTTTGCAGTAAAATTTTATTACTGAAATTAACATTTTCCTCGCGTACTCTGAAGTAAAACACAAATCAGAAAAGTTAAAAAAAAATTTATTTCAAAAAAAAAAATTGAATATATGTGTTTAGATGAAAATACATAAATATATAGGGGAAAGCGGAGCAACATGGCGAACCTTTTGAAAGCCCTGAGTTATTGCAAAACTATCAGTCGTGAAGTAATAATACCTTCTCAATATGTTTATGTTATTAAGATGATTCATTACCAGCATGAATTTTTAGTTTGTAAATATAACAATTTGAAATAAATATTAAAATAAAAAGTTCATAAATTTGTCATCTAGTCACGTGACCGCGGTAAGATGACTTATTAAGCAATTTTTGCCTCCAATTTTACAAAATTTTAAAAATTACCAATAACTCTAACTAAAGTAATACAAAATAAACATATGTCGCAAAAAACTACTTCTAAAGAAGTTAAACTTGAAGGACACCATCCATTAAGACACAATCCATTATGAGAAACCGAAACTTTTTTTAAGCGCAAAAAGTAAACATATACGTATAAAATTGCGTTAATAATATTTAAAAAAATCAATTGGTGTTTTAAAATCCAAAATGCAAATAAAGTTTTGTATTCACCCAATTTTAAGACTTTTTGTTGAGTTGTTATAGGAAAACCCATCTTGCCCCATTCGCCATGTTGCCCCGCTTTCCCTTACTTAGAAATTTAATCATAACAAATATATTGATTTTCTCTAAAATTAAATTGTATAATTTAAAAAAGAGATTGACAAAAATATTACGGCATAGCATTAAACATAAAAAGTAAAATATCCTGACGGAATACAAGAATATCCCAACGGAATACACAACTTTAATGCTTTATAACTTAAAGCCAAAATAAGATATTGAGGTTTTTTTTTCATCCAATACGTAGTGTACTTTTTTTTAAAATTTGTTTAAAAATATAAAACAAAAAACCAAAATAATAATAACAATAATAAAACTGTAAAGAGTTTTTTTTTTTATTAAGCAGAACCGAATAAAAACTGCAAAAAGTCGAAAGTCCACTTCCATTAACTACTGTTAATGGAATACCAGCATATTGTTAAATTATATTATTTAATAAATACCAGCATATTGTTAAATTATATTATTTTTATTTATATTTATTAAATGACATTATTTAGAATATATTTTATATTAAATTATATTATATTATCATATTATATTAAATTATATTATTTACTAAACTATATTCTAAATAATATAAATAGATGAATTTAAATTTTCAAAATGGTTTGAATCTTTTTAAATGTTAAAAAGATTCAAAACATTTAAAAAATTTAAATTCATCTATTTATATTATTTTTACATAATTAAAACAGAAAGATGTAACATTATAATAAAAATCTTTTTTAAATTGTTTAATTTTAAATTTTGATTTAAAATGTTTAATGTTAAATTTTATATATTGTTTAAATAATACATTGTAAAAAAAAAAAATTATTGTTATATTTTTAAAAAACGTTAGATTTCGGATTTTATAACGGGTAATTACTAAATACTGTAAAACTTATGTTTTCTCGATTAAAAACGCATTAACGCGTGTCATGAATTTGCTGTAATTCGAAAGAAAAAATGTAACGGCAAATATCGTTACGATTTTTTAATGCGAATTATACGAATTATACTATAAATTTTTTTATGCGAATTAGGCTCTCGTGACTTCTGGAGAATCTTTAATAGTATCAATAATAAGGGCAAGTCTGTAATTCCACCACTTTTGTATGGTTCAGACTTTGTCACCTCACCTAAAGACAAAGCTGAATTGTTTGCTAAGAACTTTTCATCAATATCATTTCTTGATGCCACTAGTTGCGTTCTACCTGATATAGCCGTCAAACAGGTTGATCCATTGCTCGACATTCGTATCACTCCAGCATCTGTATCTAAAGTGGTTTCCTGCTTAGACTCTTCTACAGCTTGTGGCCCGGACAACATACCTGTTATAGTCTTGCAGAAGTGTTCTCCGGAGCTCTGAAGCCTTTCTAAACTATTTAACAAATGCTTATCAGAGTCTTGTTTTCCAGCCTGCTGGAAAGCAGCATCTGTTAATTTATATTTTAAAAAATTCTGGAGAGCGATCCAATTTGTCTAACTACCGTCCCATTAGTCTCCTTCGTATCATAAGCAAGGTTTTTGAATTTTTAATTAACAAACACTTAATCTCTCATCTCGAAACTCATAACCTACTTTCTGATCATCAATATGGATTTTGATCTTCTCGTTCTACGGCTGATTTGCTTTCAGTAATAGCCGATAGGTTTTATCGCGCATTAGATAAAGGTGGAGAGGTTAAGGCCATTGCTCTTGACATTTCTAAAGCGTTTGATAAAGTTTGGCATGCTGGTCTTCTCCATAAGCTTTCTTCTTACGGTGTATCTGGAAACATCTTTAAGATTATTGAATCCTTCCTTTCCAATCGTAGTATAAAAATTGTCCTTGATGGACAGCACTCTTCTTCTTATTCAGGGGTTCCCCAAGGTTCAGCCCTTGGCCCTATACTCTTTTTAATTTACATTAACAATCTTCCAGATATTCTCACATGTAAGGTGGCATTGTTCGCTGATGATACTACCATTTATTCTTGTCACGATAAGAAGCCAACTCCCTCTGATTGCTTGCAGGGGGCATCTGAGCTTGAAAAGGATCTCACTTCTGCTACAGCATGGGGCTCACAGTGGCTGGTGAACTTTAATTCAGGTAAAACTCAATTTTTTTCGGCCAATTGTTATTGCAATAATTTAGACCTTTCTATATTTATGAACGGTAATGTACTCGATTAGTCTCCTACCCTTCATCTTCTAGGATTAACTCTTACTTCTGATTTTTCTTGGAAACCTTATATCAAATCCGTTGCAAAATTAGCATCTGCTAAAGTTGCATCTCTTTATCGACCTCGTCACTTTCTTACTCTGGATTCTATTCTCTATCTCTATAAATCTCAAACACTGTTGCCATATCTGGGGCGGATCTTCTAATGATGCCCTTTCTCTTTTAGACAAGGTGCAAAAACGCATTGTAAACATAGTTGGACCTGCTCTTGCAGCCAACCTTCAACCTCTGTCACATCGTCGTGATGTTGCTTCTCTTTCTCTTTTCTACAAATACTATAATAGGCACTGCTCGA